TAGAACATGCATCCAATGAATATCCAATGAATATGCTCCCTTCAAGAGTTACACGCATGCGTTTTTTCCAAGGATGATTTGCACCAACACGTATTTTCTCATGTTGTATCCATGGCATTACCGCGATTTTTCAGAAACTCACAGAAATTAAAACAAATTTTCGCAATAGTACAAAAAATGGTCAGGAATCGCCTTATGTCGATAGTTTTCGAACCAATTCTCTCACGGGCAACCTTACTGAAGAATACTGAAAGTTCCAGCAACGCCTAACTGACTGTCAAATGAATATCAGCTACATTTGATGCACATTAACAAGGTATGTGACCCTGACATCTTGGTTTATCAATCAGGTTATGGCTTTGGGACGATGTCCTTATCATTAAGGTCAAAGGCCTTTGGTGAAAATGCTTGACATGGCCTGACATTGAGGGTAAGCGTATTATGCGTACTTGGAGGGATCACGGCTGTCTCCTAACTGCTTGTGCAGCACAATAATAAGATGGTGATGTAGTGTTGGCAGCTAAGCAGACAACTGAGACTCACACATAATTAGCAAGGGGAAGTTTACAGATTATGAGAGTCTACTGAGGAGTAGAGTTCGATGATACCCGCCTATTCACGATGTTGGTGCGAACTGACAGCTTACCACCTAAATGGTGAATTTAAATAAACAAGTGCCACAGCTTAAATATCAGTCTACCAACAAAGTTAGTCTAGTTCAGTTTATTTTTCCATATACACATATTCAGACAAAGAGATTTCGTAGAACAACAACACTATTACTTTGGCCCAAAATTATAAATTATAACATGTAGTGGAGAAACAAAAGCAATGCCTTAATTCTAAAACACAGTCCCAAATCAAAGTTCTGCACTAAGAACGGAAAGGATTCGCCGCTTCCCTATTTCACCTCAGGTTTTGTAGTGCATCTTTTCGAGTGATTGCATCTATTTAATTTGTTTGCGCTGAACGACAGTGAACCTTAACCTTAAGAGCATTATATACAT